TTTAATAATTAAAGGGCGGGGTAGTTCTAGTTGGGGGCCAATGCCATAGCATATGGACGGCCATAGTAGCAAAAATTGATTGTTTCCTAAACCTAGAGGAGTACTCGGTCTCACTTTGCTCACTTGGAGATAGTTCTTGCCTAGTTATAGGTCACAAGAGGCTTTTCAATGAAGGGGCACGTCTAATATTTTATTAAATACTACACCCAAAATGGACACTCTTGTTAATTATGTAAAGAAGGTGCTAAAGTGACTATGTAAACTATACAGAACACTCTACGCTGTGATGTAGCAGCCTACAGTACTATGGTTAGACACTCTCTCTAACACATCATGTACTCTTGCTGATATTGCATTGTGTCCATTCAACAGGTACAATGGATAACAAACAGTAGTCCCCCAACTCAACAGTCAACAATCAAATGATTAACACATGTCAGGCTGAGGTTGTCCTTGCCTGTAGCCAATCTATGATAAAACAGTCAAAAAATTATAGCTACATGTACATGACATCAACTAACTTTAACACAAGCATCCGTGACAACAAGACGTACCTAAAAGTGTTCAAATTAAGTTGTTAGTACTTGTACTTTACCGTAAATATCAATAAATGACTTTAAAATACACAAATCCTGATATACAAGGGAGTGGTGACCCAGTCCCGTCCAACAAAGATCAGGAACTGGTTCGTCACTACAAGACGCACCTAAAAGTGTTCAAATTAAGCTGGTAATACTTGTACTTTACGGTATTATATCCATTAATCCCATTAAAATACACAAATCCTGATATACAAGGGAGTGGTGACCCTGTCCCATCCAACAAAGATCAGGAACTGGTCCGTCACTACAAGACGCACCTAAAAGTGTTCAAATTAAGTTGGTAGTACTAGTACTTTATCGTAAATATCAATAAATGACTTTACCATTTTAGGTTGTAGACATTGATCCATTCAGTTACTCCTGGCTCACAAGGATGAATTACAATAGCATCATATGTGACCCGATATGAGAAAACCAGGCTATATGCTCCAAAATTGAAAATTGAGATTTATGGTTTTCTTAATTAAGCAAAGTTTTTCCTACCTTTTGGTCCTTCTTCCATGTCATTTGACACATCTAGTGCTGAGTTATGCTTATTTATGCAACAAGAAGTCTAAATGAATGAAATTGAGTTACAGCCATTTTTATCATTACATCTTGCATTATTTACATGGTACACAACAAAAAGAAAGGTCTGTAAATGACCTCTTTCAAGTTATTTTAGGGCAAACTTGGTATCAAATGAAAGGAAATTCTTTAAACAATATATTTTTGGTACAATCTCA